ACAGACTCCGGCAGGTGTGGCGGACCCCAGTGCGCACGGCAAGAGAACCTGTTAAAGGACTGGGCTCAGCCTGCCTGCTGGGATCTGAAGGTTGACGACACTCCAGGGAAAGACAAGAGAGGGTGAGTGATTCTTCTTTAAAAAGTGGCGAGTGACTTTTTAGAGAGGAAATCATTCTTCTGTGTGAGAGAAGAGTGACTTCTTCTTTGACTGAGGGTCGTTGCGCGCACAAGTGAAAAACCCTGTCAATTCTAGACTCTAACAGGTAAAAGTAGTTGCACAAAATCCGTGGACAGGTGGACGGAGCCTGGTGCTGCAAGGCTGGAGGCCTTGTCCTGTTGTGGGCAGTAACAGCGGCCCAACTAATATCTGCAGGCTAAACGGACGCGTGGGGCCAGACGAATACCCGTGGTCAAACAAATGGGCCGGCGAAACAGGCGCTTGACAAAAAAAAAGTGTGTGTATGTGAGTGTGATTGGAGGTATAAATACCACTTGGTATTTTATCTCATATAAAACAGTAGGGTTGTGAGCAGCAAACCTCTTGTGGATCCACAGGCAAGAACTCTCCACTCGAAAGAGTTGAAGTGAGAAATTACCACAACAGGTTCTTTCAATTGCTGCCCTACTGAATCAGATCTCCAGTTTCTAGGACTCCCCAGGAGTCGACAAAACTGGTCCAAATTTTTACAAAAAAAAATGGGGAAAGGGATAAGTAAAACTAACCCAATAGACAGTCTAAAATGAAACAACTGGAAGTTTATTAAAGATCAGGATCGGTGAAAAATAAAACACTTAGGTAAATGGATAACAAAGTATAATTTTGATGGCAGTCTGAACATACAGAAATTAATTCTACTGCAAGATAAAATAAAACAAAAAACAAATTCAAATTAAAAAAAAATGTACGAGGAAGGGTATGATGATGTACAATTTTGGTTAGAAGTAGCACAAAAACGAGAAAGTGGGGAGAAAGAAATTACAAAAGAAAAGAAAAAGGTTCCAGGAGCCTTTTTCCAGGATGAGGAACAAGTGATCTATCAGGAGAGGAGAGGAAGAGAAGGCTTTAGGGGCAGAGGTCAGAACCTTAGAGGTTTAAAAGGGAGAAGGGGGAGAGGAAACTACAGGCAAAGCTACTCAGGGTGCTGGTGTTGCGGGCAGGAAGGACATTTAGCCAGAGATTGCCCGGACAAAAACACAGGACAGTCAGCATTATTAAGATCAGAGAAGTTGGGGAGTGAAGAGGTCCAGTTAAATCTTCAGGATTTACTTTCTATGGACAGACCTGAAATAACCCTAATAAATGGCAAACCTGTAAATTTCCTCTGTGACATGGGTGCATGTAGAACAACATGTAGAGAAAACATTCCTGGGGTAAAAAGAATGTTTACCCCATTCATGGGGTAAACATCTTATGACACTAGTCATAAGATCAGCTGTGGGAAAATTGACCCAATTTAATGAATTAAAGTCAGTGTGGCTTAGAGATCCACAGGGTCAGGAATGTCAGCTATCCATCGTAATGTTTCCAGAATGCCTAGTAAACTTATTGGGGAGAGATGGATTCTTGCAGCTGGGGTTCTTGCAGCTATGTGCCCATCCCAACCCCTGATGGGCACATAGCAGTCAGAAATAAAAGAGGGGGATTTCTTTGTTGTCCAGGGACATGGGGAACCGCATTGCTTTTATTCATAGGACGTGCCCAAAAAACCCCCCACACAACACAGCACAAACACTTCTGGCAGGGGGGCGTAAAGCTATTTCTGCCCCACAGGATCAAATGTCTCCTAATTATCTGCACGTCACACTTTGGTTCAAAACAGTTCCTGGGCCTGATAGGAACTATGAAGCGAGACTCAACAAGGTCACCCCAGCCAAGATAACTGTGACCTATCTGTACACAGACACAAAACATGTGCCTGATCCACACACATTGTTGAATTCTCTTAGATCAGATGCAAAAGTATTCACGGTTGTAGACATCAGTAATGCCTTTTTCTCAATACCAATTGAGAAAAAGAGTCTTGCTGACAAGTTGTCAAAACTGGGTTCCTAATTATATGGAAATTGTGACACCTCTGAATAAATTAATGTATGAAAAAGACATTAATGTCTGGTGGTGCGGTGATGACAAAATTTTTGATAGATTACCTCGGAAGGTAACAGAGATGTGTGCATTAATTTCTTTATTATTGCCTGTTTCTGTTTATCCAATGACTGCTGATAATCTAATTTATGCTTTAATTGATGTTGTGCCTCAGCAGTGGCGTCAGTTGCAGAAGCGAGACCTGACCTGGAGGAATAATGATCCTACATACATCGTTGCCATTGGTGTTCCCCGTGGTGTACCAGATGAGTATAAATTGGCCGACCAAATTGCAGCAGGTTTTGAATCCACAATTTGTTGGTGGTGCACATTAAACAAAAACGCTGACAGAATCAACTACATCCATTTCAATGTACAAAAACTGGGCAACTGGACACAGGCAGGCTTCGAGGCGATGCACGAGCAGCTGGCCGCTACATCACTGATGGCTTTACAGAACCGCATGGCACTGGACACGGTGCTGGCTGAACGAGGGGGAGTGTGAGCGATCTTTGGTGAAGGATGCTGCACTTTTCTACCCAACAACACAGCAGCTGATGGCGGCCTGACGAAGGCCATTGAGGGGCTCCGTACCCTTACTGTGTCGATGGCTGTCTTTGCTGCCATTCTAACCTTGTGTGGATGCTGTTGTATTCCTTGCCTGCATTCTTTGTTTAATCGTCTCATCACTACAGCAATTTAGCCCATGGGGAACCAGATGACACTGATGTATCCTTTACTGGCAAAAGATCCTGAGTCTAACAGAGAAAGCTCTGATGAGGATTCTTTTGAGGTGTATCCTGATTCTAAGTTTTGGACTGAGTATAAACCTTGAGTGTAAACATGTTTGCTTTCTTAGAAATGGACTCCCAGCTGAAAACCGTTTGAAGTGGCTGTTTAGGAGGGATATGAAAATTAGAACAAATATGTGATAAACAGGGGGGGAATGTTGGAGAAATTGTGGTGTTTAACCCTAACAAAAATAAAATAAAATTGTAAAGTTGATGGAAAAGCTTGTAGACTTAAAATATCGCCTTTTCAGGAAACTGGTGTCAATTTTCAAGAGACAAATTCAGGCCAGCCATCCAGCCGAAACCTCTTGTCTCACCATCAGCAAACAAATCCAACTATTTGCCACCAACTCATCTTTACACCAACATCCAAGCCTTTCGTCACGTTTATATTCACAACCCAGATTCCAGTTCAGAACACAAGTGGGTAACTTCAGCACTTTTTGGCGAGCATGAGGAACGTGTCCTGATGCACAAGCTTTAAGTTTAAAAAAGAGAGAGAAAAATGACAAGACTCGTCTCAAGGTGACATGGGAAAAAACAGCATGAAGGGAAAAACTCAGAAATGCTGAGATCTGAGCTCAAAAAAGTTTCTAGAAAAAAACCCCACTTTTTTTCCAATTCAAATTTCTGTTTTTTTTTTTTTATTTTCTTCTTCTTATTTATTTATTTATTTATTTAAATCGACTCGTCCACAACGGCACCAAACTCGGCGTTGTAGTGAACGCCGTCAGTAACAGTTTGTTACTCCTTTGAACACAAGAGGTGGTTACGGCACGAAGAACTGAACTAAACAAACGACAGAAAGCAAAACTTTAAACTCGTTTTGGTTTTCTTTCAAAACACAAAAGAAAACCACGGGGAAACTTGATGTTTTATGTTTTCTATTAATTTACTTGAATATGCATCCACCATTATCTAAGCAGTCATGCGGCCAGAGGGGAGGGTCACTGAATATTTTAATAATCACCTCTTCGCTATTCATGTTTTTCACGTGACCCATTGTTGTTCATATTTATTATTTATTATTTTTCTCATTAATATGACTCAAGTGGCACATGAGGCATTGAGAACATGCGCACACAGTACGAATGCTCTTATTGAGCAGAACGTCTCAATGCTCTGCCCAAACTGAGCAACTTCAATAAATACTTTAGTCATAAACCAGAAACAAACAGTTTGTTGGATTGAAAAATATTATTATTCTTTTTTATTTTAGAATTATTTATTTGGCAGGATTTTTTAAAATGTTTTTTTTAAGCACCAGAATTTGAAAATAAAATAAAATTTTTCTCCATCTGATGATCTGGGTCTGTCTGAGTGGCTCTCCCTGACCCCCTTCTTTTTTTTTTTTTCACAGAATACTTTTACTTTTACTTGATTACAACTTTTGTCCTTTCACTTTTAATTCCTGGTGTTCTTCACTCTCCTTCCCCTCCTCTAATGTTAATGAAGCATCCAGGCCTTTAAAAGTCCCTGTTTCTTTTACTCTACTGGCTCATTTTCATATTACAAAAAAAAAAAAACAATATGAAGAACACCAGGATTTGAACCTGAGACCAGCAGCACAGTCATTTTAGATTTGTTTTTTGTTTTTTTTAGACACATGAAAAAAAAAAATTGTTCCAGTAACTGAAAAACTGCATAAAATTGCCTCCCTGTTCATCCCCTCTCCAAAAAAGAAATAAGTCTGTATATTCAGAAAGAGAGAAGAAATTTTGATTTCCATAAAAAAAAAAAGATTTCCATGATCCCGTTTTTCTGCAATGGAAATTGAAGAGAGAGAATGATGCCTTTGTTTCAGGAAGTGAAACATGGAAACGATCAACGTGTGGAGCAGATGTTTGTGATTTCCTGACTGTTCCCTGACCGTTTCCCCGCTCCTCTCTGCAGAGGAGCAACAAGTCCAAAGTCCCTCTGTGTGTCTGACTGGACAGAAGAGCGTTTCTGCAGTTCCATGCAAAAAACAAATAAAATTATTTTTTAAAAAAATCAACTGAACTCGCATATACTAGACACAGGCATCTATCTATCCTCGTTTCTCCAAGTTTGTTATAATTATTACTCTGCATCCGATCCTACGGAGAGCATTCAGAAACTCTCCAGAACAGAACCATCACTTACCGCAGATGAAGAAGCGGTTTGGTTCCGTAAAGCTTCTCTGCTGCCAGACTTTCTGATCAAACTGTCTCCCGTTTCATAGAAAACGTTAATGATCCAGTGGAGCCGTTGTGCTGCATGCCTCACTGCAGCTCCTCACTGAGCCTCTCACTGAGCCCTGCACGCCTCCTGCTCTTGTAAATCACAGCTTTACTTTCACTTTCGATGCGAAGCCTGTCCTCCTCCAAGCATGATGTCATCCTGGACTTTCCAGACGGGGTGAAGCCTACTGCGTCCCTAATAGAGGCAAACACAATGAGCTGAAGGCATCTGGAAGGGGGAAAATCTAGGGGCCTCATCCCAGGGGTCATGACCTACAGGGCTGGGGGGTCGTAGACTGAAAAAACACAACAGGTCTGATGAGAAGAGGAAGAAAAGATGTGTGTCTGGTAAATTTCCCGAAGCGTGTTTGTTCTTCATTCTGAAATTTTACTCAAGTTACAGGCGAGAATAAAATCATAGTTTTTATTTATTTATTTTTTACCAGGGTACTATTAAAATTACACAAAGTCTCAAAGGGCTTTATTCTGATTATAGAGTCGTTTCCGATTTTGTCAAGAAATCTTTTATACAATCAACAAAATTCATGTGGTCATTTTGTTCACTTAAAGTCATAAAGAGGGCCGATGGCGACACCAAAACCACAGAGGGATAAAACCAGCCAGGAAACATGAGGAGAACTGAAACAAGTTCTGGAAAAGTTTTAAATAATGGATCTGGGCTGATGGAGCCACTGGTTGCAGGATTGAGGGGATGAAAAATAAATCCAACACTAAAGAGGAACTAAACCCAAGAAACAACTGCATCAAGAAATAGACATAATGAACTAAAATGACTAAGACAAGGTCCTCTTCCAAAAGCAGGAAGAGGAAGAAGCAGAAATAGAACCACAAAGCAACATGCTGATCATGTAAATCTGGTTTTAATTCCCTTGCAGAAGCAACATAATTAATTACTCCCCTTTTTCAGCGTTATGTAACTCATGGAATTATAAAAACTGAGTTTGGAATAAAAAGAAAATAAATTGAACCTGGACTTTTTACTGGTTTTGATGTTGCTTTATCTCGCAGCACCTTAAGTTTTACTGATTTATATTGTAAAAAAAAAAAAGAAGAAAAAATTAAAAGAAAAAAAAATTGTGTTTCAGAGCTCTCAAGCTGACATGGTAGATATAAGAATCTGCTTTAAATAACTTGAAAACTGAAACAAACTCAATCCGAAGCGTCTCCCCTCCCTCTCAAACAATGTGGATTTTCCCACTTAGGCCGATTAAAAACACATGCGCACAAGTCGTAAAACATGCACAAAAATGAATGTGGTATCGAAGTGTGCGTTCACATTACGCACACATTTTAAAATGTGCAGCAGCCAGGCAAACTTTTTCAGTGGACAATATCAAAGCACAAAGCGTCAAAACTCACACAAATACAGTAAAATCTGACGACATTCAGTGTTATTCACATCAAGAAGCATCGAGTCCGATGTTTTTTATGATTTTAATATTTTATTGTTTAAACTGAAGCGCATTTATCCTCAGACAATAAGCCAACACGCGCATAAAATAAAGAAAAGAAAATAAAAGCATGTGGAAACCAAAATCCAATCTGAATAGAACTTTTCTTCTTTGTGTCTCATCATTTGTAACGCAGATTCATCTCTTTGCTCCGTGCGTCAAAGCGCATAAAATCCATTTCCATTTCATTCTCACTAAAATTGGATCAGCAGATTAACTCAAACCTGCTGATCACAAATAATCAACAGGTTTGATTGTTTTTAAGGTGATCGAGGTGTGTATAATCAAACATCACCTTGATGGAGAACATCAGGGACTAATGGAGGGATTCAGAGGGAGTGATTGATCAGAGATCATATTGATCTGCTGGTAGATGATGATGATGTATCAGTGGTCAGATCACCCAGACTGGATCTCTGAGCAGAACTCTAGAAGCACCCATGTGGCACCGGAGCAACTGCAGTCATCCACTTCATCAATGTGTCTTTAAGGACAGAAATCATCTCTATTCTGTAAATGTACAACTTATGAACATGTTTCCTCTATTTAGAATAAACGTCCACATTCCCACTCAGTGACTCTCTGACATGCTGTGTGTCTTTAAGCCCTGGCTGAATGCTCTGCTGTGCAAACAGGCTTCAGTCTCTTTTTTAATTAGGTTTTTTTAAATTTATTTTTCTTTTTCTTTTTGTGAACTGCCCTTATTAGCCCTGAAAGCACAATCCTTATGTAAGATTATTATCTTTAGACCAGTTCTGTGTCTGGTCCTGCTGGTGTTCAGTTCCTCTGAGCTTCCTGCCAACATTTCTGCTCTAACTACGACACTAGAGAGAAAGAGAGAAACTATTTGTATTTTATTAGGAATAGGAACTGTCCCAACATTTTTCTATCCATCTGTTCTCTCAAATCATTTGGGAAGTTCCCAGGCTTTCCCAAACAGCCAGAGCATTTCACAGAACGACTTGTTCAAGTGGCAAAACATGAGACAACGTCTCTCCTGCAGCACCCTCAGTTCATCTCTCAGGACTAAATCAGTGAACATGTCAGCGCCTCAAAATGACCCATCCTGGTTTCCTGGTGTTTGGATAAGTCGGTCAAATTGATGAGTTGTGTTTCCTACATTATTCTGCTGATGTTCTGTCGTAAAATAAAGTTTTTATGACAAGGCCTGTCAATTAGAATTATGGGAAATCAGTGGCAACAGACTGGATCAGATTCACATGAACGCATTTTACTGTCATTTGCAAAATTCCAGACTAAAGAAAAATAGGTAGAAATGGGAACAGAACTAAGAGAATCTGCTTGAGGAAAACGCAGGGAGAGGAACTCCATCAGCATCTAGTTGTGTGCTGTAAATCATTTCGATGACAGAAATGAGCGTTTTATCCTAAGCCTCTTCCTGTTTGAACTCTCAACTCCTCTGCCAAAGCCTCACTCCTCTTCTTCCTCCTCTCCTCTCTGGCCAAATCCTCGTCCTTCTGTTGTTAGAAACATGAAACATTGTTTTGTGGTCTGGCTGCTTGCGCTGCACACATCCCAGTTTGATATGACCCACCTTTGATCCTGCAACGAGAATAAAGTCGACTGACAACGTTTGTCATCACATTTGTCATTGGGTTTCCCAATAACTTCATCCATTCGTCAATCCAATGACATTCGACCCGAATCCAAACACCACTTCAGGCAGGCAAACCAGCGTGAAACACTGCAAATGTTCCCCGCAGAATAATTACATGTAATCTCCTATCTCATATATATAGGATCACACTCCAAGCAGGATCAGGTTGCAGATATTTAAGACTAACAGCAACCTGGATACATGGGTAATCCGGCTTCCTCGGTCCAAAAAAACAAAAAAAGACATGACTGTCGGGTTCATTGGTTTCTCTAAATTCTTCCTATATGTGAGTGTGTGTGCACGGTTGTGTGTCCTGTCTGTTTCTGTGTTGCACCTGTCCAGGGTGACCCCGCCTCTCGCCCGGAGCGTCCCTGGTCCCTCATAGGCATCTGACCCCACGAGGGACCAGAATGTGAAAAGATGGATAGATGGAAAGCTTATGACATGGGAAGTGACCCGAAACGAAACATGAGATGTACAAACTTAGAAAAAAAAACAAAGGAAAAATAATCCGCCCTCACACATAAAGCAACACAATCCGAAAGCTGGCCGGTGTTGAAATAGAATTTTAAAGTAGCACAATAGTACATAAGTTAACTTTTAGGTTAAGATAAACTTAGATACAAATCCAAACTGGGACAGCTGGTGACTCTCAGAACTTACATAAATTCCTAATCAGAAAGCAGTCTTATACTCCTTAAGGAACATTTCAGACAGGGAGTGTATTGGCTATCAGGGCAATAAAAAAAACACCAACTACTTTCTTGTGAAAGCATCTTGAGGCAGAGATAACGTTCCAGCTCCACGCTGTAAATCAGGTCGGAGCCTGGTACAAGAAGAGCTGGGGGTTTGGGTCTAAGAGGTGATAAAATTAACATTGAGACAGCCCACACAAAGGAAAAGAACACACCTCCTAATGCATATATTTAAATGAGGAGAATACGCAGTCTATAAAATGATTTTGTTTTACAGCAGAAGTTCGAATCGCTTGGTGATGAGTGAGTGGTTCCCAAAAATGCATTTTTGAATCAGGTAATATTCTGTTTTGTCATTGGGTGTTGACTTCATGATAATCTGGGTGTAAATGGTGTTCTGTTATTCTGTATGTATTTGTATTCACTTTTGGATAAAACTCTGGATATCTGAAATCTGACGTCGTATGATTGCTCTTTTCTGTCTGCACACTTACACAGACACAAGAATTCGGGACAAAGAATTAATTAACGAGCTAAATCAAGTTATTTCTCTTTTTAATTCTTAACACCGGACAACAGAAAGACCCAGGAAACTCAGGGAACAATGATAGAACTGCAAAAACACAAAGAGCAAAAATAATGACTAGTTGCTTATAATAAACACTTTCATCAATTAAATCTCTGCAACAAACGAAAAACACTGCAGACCTGCATCAAATATGCTCAAACTCAAATCCAAAGAATCTGGCAAAACCAACAATATAAAAAAACCGAAACATACAACATGACCTGATGCAGAACAAATGAATGAAGCCTAAATGCAGAGCCAAAAACCCCAACGCCCAGAAACAAGGCTGCACACCGAAACGCCACTGACAGTGTGACATAAAACAACAACAATATGATTTTAAATTAATTTAAAAGTTTCCCTCCAAACCTGACACGACTGCCAAGCAATGGGGCCATGTGGGACCAACACCCACAGCACCTGTTGGAACCCACCTGACATTTTGAACCCATCATAGTGGTTCCTTTGTATCCTTATCCAGTGAATCATGCGATTCCCTCCTGCCTGGGATTAGAGTGCAGGCGACTATTTGCAAGAGTTTAAAATGTGAAAAAAAGGCCATCATTAATCTGGGTTTGTTTTTCACCGAATCGATAAAGTGCTTCCACTCCTGGCCTTAAACCAAGCGGCAAACAGGAAGGCAAATAAGATGAACTCACATTCCTCAAGGAATTAAAAAGTCAATGCAAATGTGTTCAAACAAATCAAATCAGTGGCAGTAAAAGTTGGGCAAAAATCAAATCTCAGTCTGGCTGAAGGGCGATCTGTAAAATCGATACTTTTTAGATGAGTTTTAAAAGTTACCTGTGAACCTTAGAGGAGGCGTTGTTCCCCCATACGCTTCCATTTAGAGCTGGGAGGAACAGAAGCAGCTGAACAGTAAGGAGTTGGTTCAGTCTATTACATAAACGGTTGCTATCCCACTTTCCAGTTTCCCTTAATGAAATGTGCTTTCTGAGAAGTGAAATCTTTGCACTTTATAACTTTGTTTCTGGTTAAATTATAATTTTTTTTTTCTCCAAGTTGGTCTGCAGATTCCAGTTGAGGGAAAAGTCAGCATCTGTGTCCTTCTTGGCATATTAGGAACAGGTAAGGCTGATTAACCATCTGATTGGTTCGCGGTCCTCTGCTGGTCCAATGGTGGGGGAGTTCCTGCAGCTTCCAGGCAGCCAATCAGAAGAGGAGCTGTCACAGCTGAACCTGCATAGAAGAAAAGAGCCTGCACCGCCTCCAGAGGACGGAACAGTTACCAGCAACAGAAACAGCAGCTGTTTTTCCTTTAATGCAGAAAAGTTTAATGCATAGTAGAGCCATTCCTTGAACTGACTCACTTCATGCCTTTATATGAAACAGGAAGAGAAGCTACTGTGCAAAACTCTAGAGCTTTAAATCAAATCAAATCAAATTTTATTTGTATAGCACATTTCAGCAGCAAGGCATTTCAAAGAGCTTTACATCATAAACACAAAAACACAAAGTCATGCATCATGGAATCAACAATACATTGTTACATATTACATTTCAAAATCAACTCTAAACAGGTGTGTTTTTAGTTGCAATTTAAAGGAAGTCAGGGTTTCTGCTGTTTTACAGTTTTCTGGAAGTTTGTTCCAAATTTTTGGTCCATAGATGCTGAAAGCTGCTTCTCCTCTCTTGGTTCTGGTTCTGGAGATGCAGAGCAGAACCAGAACCAGAAGACCTGAGAGTCTGGATGGTTGATACAACAACAGCAGATCTTTGATGTATTGTGTTGCTAAACCGTTCAGTGATTTATAAACTAACAACAGTATTTTAAAATCTATTCTTTGAGCCACAGGGAGCCAGTGGAGGGACTTTAAAACTGCTGTTATGTCTCTATCTTTAGAGCAAGTCTGGTTATGTACACCAACGTATTTTGACCTCTGGCTAAGTGAGCTAGCCCACACAACTTAGCTCGACTTGAACAAGCAGAAGCCAGAAAGCCTGGGGAAACAACACCCAAGATGCGATCGGGTGATGTGGTTGCAAATGGTCGATAGTCGTTATGTGATGATAAACTACCCTACAAGTAACTGTTTACTGAGCAGGCACGTTCAGCCTGATTTATTCCAAAACAGGAAACAGAGCCACTTAGCTAAAACAAATCTAAACGTCCTGCTGGAAGATCTCGCTGGTTCTCGTTTGATCCTTATTTGCAACACAAGTACAATCCTGCTGGCAAAAGGTAAGGATCCACAAAGTTGGGATGAAAACACTGAGAGCTGGAGGTGACCTCTGGGACGACCTCTGAAAGATGGCGCTCGACACGCTCAGGTCTGTTCATTCATAACAGAACCTACATGTGATCCGTGAAGCTCCATGTGATGTTTGTCAATTCAGAACTAAGAAAAGGATATTTATCGGAACGTTGCGGTCAGGATTTACTTACCAATGATTTGAGTGACATTGAACCTCAGGTCTCTCCTCACCGCATCGGTAATCGAAACCTTTGACAGCAGTCGACTCTAAGGCATTGAGTCGCAATGCCAGAAATATGCGGAGGAAGATTATTCATGCTTCTTTAAACTGTTAGAAAAAAAACACACACACATTCGTTTCCTTCTCATTGCTGCTTACTGTCTTTAAATTGGCAAGTTACTAAAATTCCAGCAGTGCACAAAAGCTTGTGGATGTAATGTGATCAAATGAAGGGGCATGGATACCTTTTAAATGGTTTCCAAATCTTTCTTATTAACAGAGTAGTCCGTTGTCAGTCGTTCAAACACAAATGTGCTGCAGCAGAGGCAAAGCGCCTCGGGGAGGTAGGCGGGCTCCAACTCCTGAATCAGCCGCAGATGTCTCCTCTGATTGGCTGCTGGACGATGAGCGCCACGGCTGACTTCTGAATATTTTTCATGCAGCTGCTCATGTCCGTCACTGCCATGACTTATCCTGTGAACAAACTTGTTCATGTGTGAATTTCATCTCATTTCTTATTTCATGGAAATGCCTCAACTGTGATATTGTTTATTTATTTATTTATTCTTACATTAGCAGGAAAATAGGCAAAGATTTCCGCAAAATATTAATGGAAACTTATTTTTGCACTATTGTCATGATTTTTCTAGGAATCTACACAAATAAAAGAATTCTCCAAGCCTTTCTTGCTAGGAAATGGAACGCATGCTCCTCTTCCTCAAAGTTAGAACATCAAAGTTTACACACAGTCACAAAAGTCCTCTGAGGAGCGTCATTTAACTTTCATAACACCTTCCATAAAATAACGTCTCATGTTCTCTTGGCTGCTGCTGCGACTTTCACAGCTGCTTAAACCATTTCAGAGCTGAAGGAGACGGGACCCTCCAGTCAGTGTCCAGTAACTGTGGTTTTAATTAGAGCTTTTTGAAGAAAGGTGCTGTTATTTCCACCCTTTGAGACCATAATTTTACAGGTTACTGTGGGAACCCACTCTTGGGAAGTGGTATGAATGAATGAATGAAAAAAACAACAACATAAAAACAGATATACAAAAGCGTTTCACTGTAAAGATAGTTTGTAGTTCTGGTGCAACCTGAAGCAGAGTATTCAGGTTTATGTCTGGTTGAACGATGTGTGTGCCCGGTAGATTTTTTTTTTCTTTTTGGGCGGGGGCGATTTTGTTGTAATCCAGAGTGGGGCCCAGAAGGAAATCTTTGGGAACCACTGAACTATGCCATCCTGGATAAGATCCCACCGGCACTCAAAGTTCCCCTGCTAGAGGCCCGTCTGACGCTCCCCGATCTTCATCTGGATGATCCAGAGGAGCCATGGGAGAAGGTCATGAGGTCAGATGACACTTAAACAGAAGAACACAGGGGGGAGACCGGAGTTTTTGGGGGGCAATTTTCTGCAAAGTGGACAGAAGAACCGCACTTCACTGAGAAGAGGATGGATGGAGCCGGAAGCCAGGGTTTTGGTCAACAGCCTCTTTCAGGTTGAAGAGGGGTCACGTCTGCCAGCAGGATGAGGATCTGAAAACACACAGCCAAGGCAGATGAGGACTCTCTACAGAAAAATGTTGACACAGGAAGAAAATTGACAGACCACCCTCCTGTACGTCACAGTGTGGTGTCTCTTGAAAACTCTCCAAACCATCTGGCAGAAAATTCTTCTGCCCACCACAACTTTCCACAACAGATGCTTATAGCTTTGCTCGTCACTTGCACTCTTAAAGAGCCTTAAAACCTGTTAGCCATGAAGTGTTTGGTCAAGGCCTCACACAAAGCAAAGGGCAGTATTTTTTAAGAGAAAATAAACCAGATCTTTTTTTTTTTTTTTTTTTAACTTGCTCTTGCACGGGGAATGTTGGCAGAAATATTTCTTTCTCTTGGACGCTGAACACAAGCTATGAAAGACATTGAAACGTGGCGTTGTAGTTTGCATGTTGTGTTTCCCATTGCTGCTACCTGAACTTTAAGGCAAAAAAAACCCAATGTTTGCATTCCTTCAGTAGAATCAGCTCCCTCGTCTTCATCACTCCATCTCGCTTTGTCCTACAAAACAGCAGATAAGTCGCTCAAGTATTGGCTGAAATCACTCAGCCAAGACTTGAGTTCCAGATCATGCCTCCGCCGCTGTGAGCTCAGCGTTGTGTTTTCACTTGCCCTCATTGGGTAACAAGGCAGCGCTGGTGTTTGGACCAAATATTACAGACAGAAACTGCAACACTCTGCTGTACCATGGTGCCTGTGGTAATCTGTGTGATCACAGAATAAAAGCACAACAATTACGTTGATGTTTTAACATGTTTCAGATTTATATGTGTGTCCCACACACATATAAATCTGAAACATTTATATGTTACTGGCTCCAGTAACATATTCTGGGATAACTGGCTCCAGATCATTCCTCTTTTTAGGTGCAGAGATTAGTTTCTGTTCAGCTGGAGAAAGTTTTGGCACATCCACACATTCAACTGATCTGTTAGGTGGTTGGATGGGTCCAGAGTCGCCTGGTGACGTCGTAATGTAGAGGATCAGAGAAAACTTCAGCCAAGAGTTTAAGGAAATAATAGAAAATAACAACTTCTTATCGACGTAATTGTTGACTGAAAATGCAAACCATATTCCTCAGATTAGGGTGATGACCCACAGAAACCAAGAGGATCCACTAAACCGAAGATGGAATTTGACTTTCGTCCAAGTTAAGACATGAATCCACAATCAGATCTATTGATTTATTTTTTGGGTAGGTCATTTGGGTGTCAGCAGAATACGGCTATTTAGTTTGTAGGCGTGGATGCCTGATTTTCATCTTCATCGGACAGAAAAGAAATGTTATGAACCGCAGCAGGAACACCTGCTAGACAAAGAGCTACAAGCCCAACATTCACCCCAACACATAGAGAGGTCCTTCAAACCAGCTGCTGCATAAAAACACATACGAGAGCAGAGCCAGAGCAGGATCTTAATGTAAAATATGACATTAAGATCATATTTTAATGTGATCTTAATGTCACATTAAAACCTTACACAATGAAACCTTTGCTCACGAAGCTATTATCCCAAACAAGAAAATGGCTTTAAAATAGAACCCGAGGTTTTACGGCACTCCGGCTGAAAACCAAGGCAGCTTTCGATGAATTGTTTTCACATAATCCTGTGGAAGCAGTTTGGCAGAAGTGAAAACAGGAATGGAACCAAAGTTAATCAATAAGTGTGCTTTTTTTTTTTTTAATTCTGTCACGCCCAGGCACGGATGGACACAGGGACTGAACAGTGAATACCAAACCAGACGTTTATTGGGAAATTGCTTATTCTTGGTCAGACAGGCCAGGGTCAGAACCGGGAATCCAAATCGGGATCAGGCAGTCTCAGGGTCAGACAGACAGGGGGTTGAAGCCAGGAGGTCCTTATCCAGCGGGGAGAGTCAGGGATCGGGGACAGGAGAGGAATCGCTGAGGGTTTCACAACAATCTGACGCCGTGCAGGAGGAGTTCCGTCCTAATATGGCAGCAGCTGAGGATCAGGCGGATGCCGATCAGGTGCGAGTGGTCACAGCTCAGCGGCAGCTGTGACAGGTCCCCCCCCCTCAAGGCGCCCCTCAGGACAGCCGACGGTCTCCCCGACGACGGTAGAAATCCCGGACGAGCTGGGGGTCCAGGATAGCAGAACGCGCCACCCAGCTTCGCTCTTCAGGACCATAACCTTCCAGTCCACCAGGAACTGGAGACCACGCCCCCGACGGCGCACATCCAGGAGACGGCGAACAGTGTAAGCAGGACCACCATCAACAATCCTAGGAGGAGGGGGCGAGGGTACGGGAGGACACAGGCGACTAGAGACGACAGGTTTAATCTGAGACACATGGAACGAGGGGTGGACCTTCATAGTGCGAGGCAGGGCAAGGCGAACAGTGACTGGATTGATGACCCTAGTAATGGTGAACGGGCCAATAAAACGAGGCGAGAGTTTCTTACAGTCTGTTTTTAGAGGTATGTCCCTTGTGGACAACCAAACCTCCTGACCCGGTTGGTAACTGGGAGCGGAGGCTCTGCGACGATTGGCCAGGAGGCGATTGCGTTCAGCTGTCCGGGAGAGGGCCGCACGGGTCTGTCGCCACAAACGATGACACCGGCGAAGGTGATGCCGCACAGCTGGTACTGAGAGTTCCGATTCCTGAGAGGGAAACAGAGATGGCTGATAGCCCAAGGACACCTCAAAAGGGGACATACCTGTGGCTGTACTGGTCAGGGAGTTGTGGGTACTCCACCCAAGGTAGAAACCGAGACCAAGAGGCAGGATCGTTACAGACAACACAGCGAAGGGCCGCCTCCAATTCCTGGTTAACCCTCTCAGTCTGGCCATTGGTTTGAGGGTGGAACCCTGATGAAAGGCTCACTGTGGCTCCTAAGGCTCGACAAAAGGCATGCCAGACCCGGGATGTGAATTGGGGCCCCCGGTCCGTAACAATGTCCACAGGGATGCCATGAAGACGAACCACATGGTGCACCAGGAGATTGGCTGTTTCCATGGCAGAAGGCAACTTGGGCAGTGCTACAAAATGGGCAGACTTGGAAAACCGGTCAACAATGGTTAAAATAACAGAGTTACCTTCAGATGGGGGAAGCCCCGTAACAAAATCCATTGAAATGTGTGACCAGGGTCGGGACCGGCAGAGGGCACAAGTAACCAGCGGGTTGTTTGTTGCTGGACTTACCCCGATTACAAATGGTGCAGGCGGAAACGTACTGGTGTCTTGAGCCATAGAGGACCACCAGAAATGACTCTGCAATAAGGTAAGTGTTCGATGGACCCCAGGATGGCAGGCAAACTTGGAAGCATGGATCCACTGGAGGACCTCAGGACGAACACTTTCAGGGACAAACAAACGGTTCGGGGGACAGTCCGCTGGAGCGGGTTGGACCTGCTGAGCTTTCCTCACCAACTGTTCAATTTCCCAGGAGAGAGTAGCCACCACACATGAAGCCGGTAAGACACTTTCTGGTGCACTTTCCAGAGCCTCAAGTTCAAATTGACGAGAAAGTGCATCGGGTTTGCAGTTCTTGGAACCAGGTCTGTATGTTAAGACAAAGTTGAACCTTGAGAAAAACAATGACCATCTGGCATGGCGTGGAGTTAACCTTTTAGCAGACTGAATGTAAGATAGATTTTTGTGATCAGTCCAGACAATAAACGGTTGTGAGGACCCCTCCAGCCAGTGGCGCCACTCTTCCAGAGCCAGCTTAACAGCTAGCAGCTCTCTGTCCCCCACGCTGTAGTTGAGTTCAGGAGGGCTGAGTCTCCTAGAAAAAAAGCACAAGGTAGCAGCTTGTG